CACTTCTGAAATTGCATGTTCAGGTCCATCCTGAAAATCTTTAAAGTGAGTGTTGGGAAATGAGCAACGTGTCATCTTCATTGTAGCATCTGGAATCCATTCCAGACACCACGCAGATCAGAGGCAGCATGGGGCTCTTATACTAAGTGAAAATCGCACTATAAACCATTGGAGTATACATATCTGAATTCAAAAAGAAAGAAGAACGGCAACAGCCAAATCATCTTTACAGTTACACTGAAGTCTCTTTGAAACAGACCTTGGCTCAGCTGAGCAAACTTCCGCCAATAAAATCATCAGAATTGAAAATCTTGCTGTATTATCAGAAAAATCCTGAGTCCAAAACCAAATACCATGTACTCAGGGTGGAATCAAAATCCAGACTTAGCCCTCATTGCCATCATAGACACTTAAGCCACAGACACTTAAGCAGCAGGCTAACATGTACCAGCTGATCCAAACTGGAGAGCCAGGACAGCCATTCTTAATAGTCTCTTTTAAATAATCCTGATGCTAATCATTGGTTTTGGTTTTTTTCAAAGACAAAACAAGCTTTAAGAAAATTCTACTGGGAACATGAAAAACAATGGACTGCGTTAAATGGAGTGCAGATGTTTTACCATATCAGTTTAAGAAAATCCACAACATGCACTCACTATACTAGGATTATATCCACTAACAATTGTAGATCATATTCCAAACGCAAAGAGATATTTTGCTGATGAGTGGTGGAAAGGCAACACCTTTTCCTGAAAGACTTTGTTGATTCCAAATGTTTTCCCTAAAGCAAGAAATACAACAAAATACAACAAAATGTGCTCTGTCAGGTGTCTGAGAGCATATCCTAATCCCACCACTCTCAAAGACAGCTGGTGGACAAAGGAATTTCTGAAAACCTGGCCACAGAAAGCATTAACTTCCCCTGTTGATACTGACTTCCCTTCACAATCCATTTTGAATGTTCATATCTACATAGAATCAGTTTCAATTTTTTCTCTCTTGCTGTCCTAATGGTATTTTCTCTTTTGACCGTCTTAGACTGTATTTGCAGTAGGAATTTTCTATGCTCACCACTAGCCAGGCCTAGCTAAACTTAAGACACTTGTCTGTTATCACAAAGATTTCTGTAACTAAATCACTGTTTCTCCTTTGTTCTGCTGAAGGACTCACATGTGAACTTGCTAGAGTACCATCCTTTACACACCTCCCCAGCCCTGAAGAGAACTGCTCTTTGCTTTATTTCCCCACTAAATCAAATGTGTCTGTGGGACATCACTGTGGCCTCAGCAGCTCAGATCTTAATAAATCTATCTCACTTGAAAGCATTCAGACCATTATAAGTTTTCCCCTTCTCTTAGACAAAAAAAACCCAGAAATAAATTTCTAATCCTTAAATTGAGATCTCATGAGATTTTTAAGATTTATTACCTAGAGCTGAACACAGCTTTGGGGGAAGTCTTGGAGTTTTCCAACATATTTCCAATGGCATCCAAGAGTTTGGGCAGGTTTTTGCTGCTCACGCTTTTTCTGATTTAACTGAGACAAAAGCAGAATATGGATTGAAGAAACACTGAGGAAGGAGCTCAGAAGTGGGCTACAAAAGCTTAACAGAACTTTGCAGGGAAGTTTTGGTCTGTAAATCCATCTGCAAGTTGATCAAAAGGTGGATTTCTTCTCATGAGGATTTGACTTTTGACAAAGATGTCTCCCTGACAGCATTTTGAAATGCCTGCTTTAGATGAGTAACAAGGAACAAAGGCACCTGCTTGTGCAATTTCTACTCAGTACTCTCCTGGAGGCTGAAGGGTATTCCTATTTTTGTGAAAACCAGATAGTTCATCACAAACTGGCAGCACTTGAATGGACCAATCCTCTAGCCCTGCTGTATCTCAAGTGTCCTACTAGGTCAATTACATTAAATATCTCAGTGATATTGACAGATCAATCATCTTCTAGATTTTTTTGGCTTTTTTTGCTAGTGAAAATAGCAGTTAACTGAACGTGTGTTCAGAGAGCATTTTAATAAAGTTAACAAACATACACATTTTTTGGAAAATGCATAATTTCCATTCATACTAACCAGGACAGTTACCATATACTAGTACCTGTAGTCTATACAGATTTCAGAGCTTTCTTACAAGTAACCTAGAGAAAGTTTCTTATTTATGTAAATGAGATTGTCTGAAATGAATATCCTCCATGTTTGAATTTCCATGAAGACTTTGAGACTGAAATTTCAAGTCAGCAGCACTAAGTGTAATGGTAACTCAGTGGGATGGCTTAGTTAATCTTAATTTCTTAAATTTTTTCTTTTCATAAAACTTGACAGCAGCTGTGGAATTTTTCGTGGATGTATACTGTGCCATATATGATGTTCTTACTCCAGGCTAGAAACAAGTAAGCTCCTTATATTGATAGCAAGTGGGCACGGTGGACAGTCTTCTCAGTAACTAAAAGGAACTGAAATTTTCAGTTTCTATGTAGATTTGCCTCTTCCAGTATAGAAGGCCCAATGCTGGAAGGTCTTAAGTAGCCCAAGAGAAGCTTTATTGTAATGTCATTCTGTGAAGTTTGCCTGCAGCTGCATAAACGCTTCTCCAGCTCTTTCTGTATCTAGGATACAGACTAGATCTGCTCATCAAGAGCCGTAGTGGGATAGGAAATAATATGGACCTATATACAACCTAGTTTTTCTGACTCTGAAAACACTTACACATGGGGTAAAACTGGTTAACAAATGAGAATTGACTTGGAAATGAATGTGAAACTTTTAATTCACCTGAATAAACCCACCACTAAAATGTGGTAGTAGTTGTGACCTGGCCCACATATACCTACATATAAAGGTATAGGTATATACCCTATACCTTTCAGGGTATAGGATTTCCAATGATTTAAAAAGTAGGACTATGCCGTAATTTACACAATGTTTTCTGCATTTGTTCATAAATTCAGTTGTTATTTTAACTGATACTGAAATGTTAGAAGGTATTTAAAACCTATTCTGTTGCTATCCCTGAATAAGGCACTGTCATTAGAGACTGCATCCCATGGTAGGAGCTCACACTGGAGCAGTTTGTGAAGAACTGCAGCCTTGTGGGAAGGACTCACATTGGAGAAGTTCATGAATAACTGTCCCTTGTGGGAGGGACCCCATGCTGGAGCAGGGCAAGAGCATGAGGTGAAAGGATCAGGAGAGATGAAGGTGAGGAGTCCTCCCCTGAGGAGGGGGAAGCAGCAGAGACAATGGGTGATGAACTGACCACAACTCCCATTCCTTGTCCCCTTGTGCTGCTACCAGAGAGGAGGTAGAGAATTCATGAGTAAAATTAAGCCCAGGAAGAAGGGATGGGTGAGGAAAGGTGTTTTTAAAATTTGGTTTTATTTCTTATTACTCTACTCTGATTTGATTGGTAATCAATTAAACTAATTTCCTAAAGTCCTTCCTGTTTTGCCTGTGACAGTAATTGCTGAATGATCACTCCCTGACCTTATCTCGACCCATGAGCCTTCGTTCTACTTTCTCTCCTCTGTCTAGTTGAGGAGGGGGAGTGATAGAATGGCTCTGGTGGGCACTTGGTGTCCAGCCAGGGTCAGCCCACCACAGATGGGTGTGCAGCCTGTTCCACATGTAGGAGAAGCTCCAGCACCTATGTGGTGACATATCAAAGCTATCAATAATAAAACCCACCATCCTTATTCCCATTTTTATTTCATTGTCATGCTTTGTCTCTGATAACATTCCAGTCCATATTCCTGTAAGACTAGAAGCCAGTACGATGTTGCTGTTTCCTCTTCAAAAAACAAGTTTCCTCATCTACCTGTTAGTAATGTACAACTGCATCTTCACCTGGCTACCGGCCAGAGCTACATTTTCAGAGAAAGTTAACAGAGTTGTGAAAACAGGACAGGCAGGACCTAACTCTGACAAACACTACAGGAATCACTCAAGAGCCAGCAAAAGTATTTACTTCCATGACTACATGTCTGGGAAGCTGGGTTTTCTCCACACCAACTGCCAGTGTCTGCTGATGCCAGACTTTTTATGGTGTCTTTCTGTCAACCTGCTGAAAATAATATGCCTTTTTGTTTCTGAAAGAAAACATGTTACTTTGCCACATTTTGTACTGATGGGCAAAATAGACACTACTTACACTTCCCAGCCATCACAGTCAGGTTGCCTGGCTTAGCCTGTGATAAGCCAAAGACTAAGCAGAGCACCTGCTCTTTTGTTTTCATTTTCTAATATTGCTTTCACCACTGTGGCGGTGGTAAAAATAATATCACCCAAGACAAGAAGAACAAGATGGGAGGAAAATACAGTTTAATTAACAACACAGACCTCATGCAAGTAAAGGAAAGTCCATTTTTAAATCAAGAGAATCTGATTCCAGGCCAATTTGGAAACCACAGCAGATAAATGGTTGCCTTAAACTGGGTGAGTCAAATTCTTCATTTTGTTTTAAAGAAAAAAAATGTTGTATGGGCTCAACTCTGAGCCCATACAACATTGATATGAATCCAATTCCATGATGCATTAGCAAGCAAAAGATTATGATGTCACCACAAATGTCATGAAGCCACTATTTTGAAAACACAAAAGCAGAAAAACAGATTTACAGGAGCCATATGCACCAAGCTGGGATTCTTTTCTTTCTTATTTTTCCTTTGAAGAGTAATAAGTAAAGCTATCTAATTTGAACCCATGATGCTTGTTTTCTATATTGCTGATTGGTGTGACATAATGACTACATAAAATGGAATGATTACAGGTTTTAAAATAAAGTAACTTATTTGACCGAAATAATTCTGTGCATCTGTTTTTCATTTTCAATTTTGTTCATATTAGTAGTGCACTATTTTCATTTACTCATACCTCTGGGATTCAACTTTTTGCTTCTATCTTTACAGTCCTGGTATAGTCATTACGTGGTAAAAGGGATGGGGTGAAGGAGAGGAACAAATAATAGGTGAAGCTGCAGCAAATGGCACAAGGATACAGTCCCTTCCTGGAAAGAGGATTTTGTGGCGAACCATTTCTCCCATAATGCATCCCACAGACCATATATCCACTAGAACAGCAGAGACAGGGAAGTGAAGAAGGAGGGAAAAAAAGCAAAGTTAACTACGATATTTCACTCCTAAAGGAGGGGAAAAAGAGCAGGTTGATCAGAACAGTACAGTTTGTTTTGTGGTTTTGTTAGTTTTTTGTTTTTTTCTCATGTCTCAACCAAAAGATTAAATAAATAAGTAAATAAGTAAAAGCTGTGTCAGTCAGCTTGACAGTAGTTAGTAGCAATGGTGGAAAAAGTTTAAAATCAACATTTTCAGGAAAAGGCCCACAGATAGCAAGTAAAGAATAAGTAACAACTGCACAGAGTCATGGTATACACTGAGTTTATGGTGAAAAAAATGCTTTTTTTTTTTTTTTTTTTTTAAAGAGAAAGATAACAACAAAAACCTAGGCCCAGACAATGATCAGCTGGAATAAATCCTACTTGCAGCCAGGCAGTTTCTAGGTTTTGCCCTGCAGGAGTGAGTCTCTCTGCAGCAGTACACAAGAGGTTCCACTCACATAAGTAAAGGCTGTATTGGTAAATACTACCCTTAAGGGTTACTTAAAACTCCTGCTTCAAGATCTGTACCTATGTCCTAGGTACCTATCTATATGTATCTGTACCTACCTACCAACTGGAAAGAACTGGAGACTGTGACCTCTGTGGACTCTGTTTTTTACTGCATAGCTACTCAAAAATAGGTGCTAAAACAACCACTTTGCAGGACAAGTACTGTCAAGACCAAGAGCATTTATCTTCCTGATCCTGTCTTTAGCTTTTAGATGCAATATGCATACTTACATTGTCTGCTTGATTTGGGCGCTTTGGGATATTTTTGTCATCTAAGACTTACAAGAAGAAAGGCTAGATAGATAGTGACACAGTACACACAGAAAGAACAGACCTGCATTCCATGTGAAGGGGAAAAACCTGCTTTTAGATGCTTTAAATGACTATGTTGTTTCTCAGCTTTGAATCCTCATTTTGTGGTCGTGCTTGACCTACACAACCAGTTTCTCCTCTTTTTCTTCCCCTTTTTATCCTTCAAAAGCAATCCAAACCAAACCAAAGAAACAAACAAACAACTCTTTTCTTGGTACAACAAAATAAAGGTGAAATGTTCCGTTGGGAAAAGGAGGGTATGGGTATCAGGGGCATGGGACAGCAAGAGCATGCCTGAGGCAGTGGCAGAGTTTTCTTCATACTAACAGCTATGGGACCTTCCACAGAAGTGCAGCAAACTGGTGATAATTATGCATCTTTAGCCAACCAAGTGCAGAAAGAAAATGAAAGCAGTGAACGGTCCTTATACAGGCAGTGTACATAGTAAGAGGAAAAAAAGGTAGGGGAACTTCAGTAATGTGGCAGCATAGGCCAGAGCAGGGAAGCAAAAACCAATCCTTTCTGTTGACTTCCGTGGGAGCTGGATCAGAGCCTTCAAGCAGACCAGCTCCTTCAAGCTGACCTTCATTTTCAAATATTTTGGGTTTTTTCTCTGTTTACTTTATTTTGGCTTTGTACAAGTTAGACAAGATCATTCACGTTAAGCCAGATTCATTGGCCAAGGAAGTCAAAGGAAATCTCTATGTTAACTTCAGTGGACATTTGATCAGGACCTTTGGATGTGGAAAACATTCTTAGTACCTTCCCAGCTGTGTACTTCATCACAAAAGTGTGTCTAAGTTTTTCTTGGTGCGATTTTAATCATGTGAAAAGCAAGTGCTTCAGGGACAATAACAACAACAATAGTAATCATCTACTACATGTCTGGAGAGAAAAAAAATAAACACAAAATAATTCATTTCAGAATAGAAGAAACTCTGGATTTTGACAAAGGAACCATCTAAGCATGCTGAGCCTAGTTCAAACCTCTAATGGCACTTATAAAAATTAACAATTACAAAATATTTTAAGGAAGATTATTCCTTTTTCAGAAATTATTCTCTACATTTAGACTGTGCTTAATAATCCTCTACTTTTTAGACTTTCATATTAAAATGTGTACTGTAAATTCACAAACATTGCAAGTAATTCTTGCAGAGACTTGCTAATTTTGGAGAAGCATGCCTTTGTTGTTTAAGTCATGGAATCAGCACCCAAAATCAGTTCACTGCCTTTCACAGGATACAGTTGGCTGTTAGTAAAAGTTCTCGCACAGGTTAGCTAATCTCTTTGATGTAAATTATGTAGGACACTTTTTAACAAACTCCTGGTTTTGACATTTGCTGTGTTTGTCATTGAAAAGTTTCCATGTCAAACAGACATGTGGTAGCTTTTGACAGCAAAATCTGAGTCCTAGCTGATTTTTCACCACTATATGTTGTATCCCCTCCTTTCCTGCCTGGCCTACCTGGCACTCAGATGCAATTCTCAGTTATGTTACAACATGAGAATCACTTATTAAGTTTTCCCTTCATCCTCTGCAAAATGTGAATTCTTTCTTACCTGCTTCTGTATAGTAAGCATCCCTTACCTGCTTTTCACAATTTTTCCAGGGATCAAGAGGTATCTAGATCCCTCACAGACTGTTCAGAGCAAAATCATATTTACATCTAGGGAAACTACATAAAAATCAGATGCATGCTTTTTTAGCTTCAACTTTTTCCTCTTGTCTCCAACTCTACTTTCCACTAAAAAAAAAAAAAAAAAAAAAAAAAAAAGCAAGCAAATTTATACCTAGATCTTGACTACATGAAAACCGTGAGCAAAATCTGGGACTTTAGTTAAACCTACTAGATAGAAAACTAGATAGAAAATAAAGATAGAAACCATTCCTGAAATTCAGATTGAACTCTGGATATTCACTGGAAATTCCAGAAGTGCTAGGTTTTTCTCTTTCAGCTTGTACCTCTTCTTCCCTCAAACAATTCAGAGACACAGACTCAAATTCAGAGCACATCACTCATTCAGCCATTTCAGTAGTTTCCACAGTTTTACAGCTACAGAAGGCAAAGAGAAAGAGCTAATTGTATTTGTTAAGTTCAACCATAACTAAGAACAAGGTTCTCATTACTCTGCATCTCCAGAGTGATAAATTCACCAATGCAGCATCCCAAATACATTCAGTAGCTGCAGTACACAACAGTGAGAAACCGCTCTAAACGACCTGCCTTTTAAATTAAAGATGTCATTTCCCATTACATTTTCTTTTTCTCCTGGTGCCTCTTACAACTGTAGAGGCAGACCTTACACTTCAGGTTGCACTGTGCTTGCTATGAAATAGCAGCCCTACCGTTCTCCTTGTAGCCCATTCCCAAGATGACCTCTGGTGCTCTGTAGTAACGTGTCACCACATAGGGAGTCATCATGAAGCTAGTGCCCGCAGTCCTGGCCAGTCCAAAATCCAAAATCTTCAATGTGCAGTCAGATTTTACCACAATATTACTTGGTTTTAAATCCTGCAAAAAGGTTGTGAAAAGACACGTGACAGTCCTTCATAAAGCCAGGAATAGCTGTGATATGAACTGATATTTCAGGTTGCTCTTAAAATAGTCTTTTACTCCTCTGACACAGCTACTATCAGAAATACTTTTAAAACCACAGCAAAACCTTGCTACTGTTCCTCTAGGCAAACTCTTCTGGAAGATGTTCTAACGATGTCAAATACCGATTCCATACACCCTAACCTCTGCAGATTCTGACCAAACAATACTTGGACCACAGTACATCAATTCAACGTGGCTGAATGTCATGTGTGGTAGATATAGCCGGCTGCATTTTCAGGACCAATATCATTAATCTACACATTTCAGAGATCATAATCACTTTGAAGATTTCCAGTGTTTATTGTTTGGTTATTATTTTAATAATCACATTACCTTTTCATTGATTAAATTGACAAATAATCTCATTCCTACCACAAGCACAAAGCTATTCTGCTAAAGGGATGGACTATGATTTGCGAGTTTATAGTCATTTTACTGGGAAGATAGGGCTTTGATCCACAGAACACAAGAATCTCAAGTGATTTCTAAAGTCTTCATGATGTCATATGCTTCCATAAGTTTTAAACCAAAAGCCCCTTACCCTGTGAATAATTCCTGCAGAGTGAAGATGCTTGATACCACAGAGCATTTGGTACAGTAGATAAGACATACGTTCATGGTCTAGCTCCATCTGAATGACCTGGCACAGATTGGCATCCATTAACTCCATTACCAGGTAACTGAATGAAAAAGCAGTCATAGCGTTATTGTCTATGTTGAAGAGGAACCACAGCATCATCTCAAATAAGTAACTATGTCTTTTCTTGCTCAATATTCACTTTATTTCTAAGGACTGTGAGTAACACAGCTGGAGACTGGGCCCACTCACAATGCTATCATTGTGGTGTTTGTTTCTCACTACACCATCTCATGGCAGAGACACCATTCCTTTAGCATCCCAGCAAAACAGCTGGATTGCTGGCCCTTTCTTGGTGCATTCCCCATGACAGAGACTATACCCTACATGAACAAACAGGCAGCAAGACACTGAAATGTGCAGAAAACAGAAGAGCCACAAGCATCAAATGTCATGACTGTTTGGCCTTTGACCATTACGAGGAATGGCTACCACAGTACATATAGGAATTAGAGAGTGGTAGAAATGTCTGAGAGGCTAAAATATGCAACCCCATCCAAAATGTCTCCAAAACTCTTTCTAAGATTGCATGACTTCACATAATTCTCATTACAACTAATTGACCTTGTGCTTCTGATAAATAAGCTTCACTGACAACCTCATTAGCCCAATCCCCTTTAGCAATAAGTTAATATGTTAAACACATCAGCTCATTTCTTATGAGACCTCCCACAAGCACAGCTGATTCATAAGTAGCACTACACTAAAGCACTCTCAAACTGTGGGGAAAATATTAGTTCTCCATTTCAACGTGTGCTGCATGCCCTGTCTTTTTCTCCAGCACTAGTTCCCTCCTCTGCTCTGCACAGGTCTGCAGTGACAGTATTATGAGGAAATTCCAAATACCAAAACCAGAACAGTAGTCACATGATTTCAGCCATGACTATCTGTCTGTTATCACTAGAGTACAGAATGGGAATACATTTCCATACAGTGTATACAGAGTATGGGAATGACTGGAAGATGAAAGAAGTAGATGAATCACTGAATGTTTAAAATTTCATTCAGGGCCGGTTCATACCATGCACAGTAGTGCTTGTGCAAAAGGGCAGTGTCCAACAGAGGTGCTAGTTGTACTCTATGCCTAACACTTGTTCCCCAGGCAAGCAATTTTATGCAGTCCTCGGTTATATTAAAACAAATATGAAATGAGGAAACATTTCATTTCTGCCTTTTTTACGGGACCATGTTTCAGACTGAAGTGCCACATGTACATTAGAGTCACATAGCAATCATCATTCCTCTAGCAAACTAACAGCATAAAAGCAGGACCTTTTAACTACTCAGACCCCTTCCTCTGCTTTTGAAGGCAAACACAAACGTTGACCTCTCAAGAAGAGCAATCAGCTAGATTTTCACGCTATTACACTGCTTAGGAAGCCTGGTATTTGCCACCTTATAGGTGTCTAAAGTGCTCTCAGAGTACGCAGAGTATCTCTTTACACACAGTGTAGACTATACATGATCTTTTTTAGAGGGGCTTATAACATTTGCCTTTTGCTGAGTTATTGCATTCAAGGTACACTACAATCCCCTCCCATCTCTAAAGCTTTAGGTTAATTACTGTCTGTGTTACTTACACATCCTGGAACTCCTCCAGAGATTTCTGTGGTGTGAAGACATTTAATAAACTGATAATCTGAAAAGCAAAATACACAAAGGATGGAGAGAACTGATAAATGTAAGCAGCTGAACCCCATTTTGAAGTGTGTGTTAACGGATAAATTCTGTTTTTTCAGTGCTCAATTTACACTAACACTTCTCACTTTATGGATCAGTAAAAAGTCAGCAATATTCAAAATAAAATACTGCAGATCTCTCAGATTTCTTCTAAGTGCACTTGAAATGATTTCTGAGACATGGATTAACGATGATCAGTGACAAACCAAAATGCTAAGGGTGAGACAGTCCTCTGAATTTTGAAGTTACAGGTTCAGAGACCAAATTCAGCTCAATCTAGCACAGCAGCCCTTGTGCTACAGCCAGAAATTTCTTACCTATGAAGAATGCTCATCTGAGGGGACAAATCTTCAAGGACCATCTTATTAAAAATAAACAGAAGACCTTCCTTCTTTCTGATATGGCTTCAATTTCTTTGAGGGCACCTACTCACATACACTGATACAAATTCCATCATGAGAGGTACTACTTTTTCGTAGAAGCACTTTAAAATGGTAGGCACATTCTGGGCAAAGACATCTTGCATACTGAGACTCCTTTTTGCCTCCCTTTTCTTTTTATGCTTTATTTTTTTTGTTTTCTGTTTTGTTCAAATGGGCTGGGCTGTTGAAAAACACTGACAAGAATGTGTCAAACAGCACAGAGGAAAAACATGACCTCACATGTCTGAATTGCCCATGCTTTTCTTATGTGTGGGCAAGAGGTAGAAGATATCAGCACAGCTGCCCTGAAGACAACATCTGAATGCTTTCCTCCCCACTTCTTTCACCTCTCTAGTGTTTCATTTTTTTCCTCTTGCCTCCACACAGGTGCCTTTACAATCCTCTCCTTCCTTTGCACTTCTCTGTACAGACAGATTAAAACTCTGACCCAACCAATGTTGTGCTCTTATCAGCTTTTATAAAGCATTTTTGAAGTTATATATTTAAAGTTAATACCACTCCTTCTGCCCTCTGCTCTTTCCAGTCCGTTGAAAACATGGAGTGAGAATGCATCATTCTCCCACCTGCAGGGAGAACTGCTCACTCATCCCTGCTTTTTCTTTCCATGTGAATTTGTGATTAAGTGTTAAATCTCACCTTACATCACACTTTTTGAACTTATTTATGCTTTGCGTAGGGAGAAAGAGTCCTTGTAGGATCTGAGACAAGACAAGCATGTAGTAAACAGAAAAATTCACTCCTGATTAAAAGGAAAGGGTATGACACCAAGTCACAGCAGAAATTGAGGAACTGTAGGTAAATTAAATTCTTGGGATAATGCAATGGGGTAATCCTACATACCTCACTACAAAAAAGCAAGCTTATACAGTGTCAGGCAGATAATTATAACTAATAGATAGATGATTACAACTAACATATAATCCATGGAATAATTCTTTTGCTGTAGTGTAGGAATAGTTTCATTAATTATGGATACTAAATATTATGTAATGGGTAGATGATGTAAGAAGCAGGAAAACCTAGAACCTGCTAGTGCTGTTCATTTCAACAAGAGCATTGTGATTAGAAGGAATGATACAATGTGCTGAGGCTTCAGACTCCCTGGCTTACACACATTAGCTTACACACAAATACGTAGCAATGGAAAAGTCCTTTTGATTCTTAATTTTCTTCAACACTTTTGCAGCAACCTTCACCATGATGACCCCTCATCTTGTGCAATCTATACAATGCATCTATATGACTAGGTTTCAAATGAAGTCGAGAACAAGGACTGATACTTGTGCATGGGTATGCCAACTCAAGAGGCAGTCCTTTTGAGTCACAAATCCCAGCGACAAGAGGGTGAAGCCAGGATTCCAATAACTGCTTATGCATTTCTGGATAATGAATTGCAAGAACATATTCTGCTCTTTCCCCTTCTATCCCTCTAACCCTACTAGCAGCACCCTCATTTGGCATAGTCTTTAAATAAGCACATAGAAAGATCCTCATTCTCTCATGTGGTCATTTAGTACCTGAAAGACTGCAGCCCTTGAGCTTAATTTACCTTTCATTTCTTCTGTTTTAAAAAGGCACCCAACAATACAGTTTGATTTCTAACAAACCAATATACATACCATTTCTCTGGTTCCCTATTGAAAACTTACATTTTTATGATTCACACACTTCATGAGGACGAGCTCCCTGTAAGCTCGCTTGGCATGAGTTTGGTTCTGAAATGGTCTGCTGAGCTTCTTAATGGCCACGTTTCTGTCCAGGATGGCATCATATGCAGCACTGCAGCAATCACAAACACAGGAGTTCTACATCTTAGAGAATATCCTGCATTTCTCATGGCAAATTCCTGATCCTCAAGTCTACTATTGCCTTTTTTTTTTTCCCCCACTGAGAAAAATACTGGGACAAAAGGAGAGGGTTTCTAGTGAGAAAAAAGAAGACATCAAAGGAAACATGTACCATCACATTGGCAGAAGACAGCATGCACCACTACTTCTGACCTCCAGTTTGTAGGAAATTAAGACTCATTTTCAAGGGGTGGGGAAAAATATAATAAAGTAACTTCACATAAAAATACAATAGAAACTGGATGAGACAAAAAGTTATTTCATAAAGCAACTCTCTGTGCATTGGCTACAGCGGAGAGGCTTTTGCTTAATTAAAGACACCTTCACCAAGTGGCTCAATGAACAATTGCCCATTTTTATCTAGAATAAGGTTTGTCTTTTCCTTACTATATTTCTAATGGAATCAAGTAATTTAGTCATTCTTTGAGACCATATAATCCAATTCAAATAACATTCCTAGAAACACAACCATTTCACATGATTTCTTTACTATTTCCTTGTGATAATGAAAAAATGCTTAAATAAAATTTTTGTAAGCATGAAGAAATACAGGCTCTGGTTTGCAAAGTGGGCTTTTAAAGCTGGGCTCCGAAAATTCTTCTTATACTTTTAACTGTTTCATACAACCTTCACTTCCTATGAATTTGAACCACTTATTCTTGTGGTTCAAATTCGACTACACATATTTTAACTTCTACATTTCACAAAGCACACTAATTCTTAGAAACTTTCCCAAAGAGAATCTTCTTGATTCTCCCTTTTACCAAGAATGAGGAAAATTCTCTGCTACTCCATGAAGAGCAACAGTGTATTTTCCAAAAGATAAATCAGCCCAAACACTACTTGCTCTAAAAATACTTATTTAAGCAGCAAAGTAAACATTCAAAATCCTGTGTTTCATTTCTTATTAATTCCTACTTACTGTAGACATTATAGAGTCTTACTGACCAAGTACAGAGCAGAAAGCATGCATCAGAAGCCTAGTCACAAAGCCAACAAAAACATACAAGTCCTCTAAATATACAAGTAAGTGCTGGAAATGTATGTTCCGGAAATCACACAGGTGGAGAAGAATAATTACACTACTCCTGAACAAAAAGCACACCAATCACATCCCACAAATAAGAATAATTGTTTGCTAAAGGATGAGTAATTTTTTGAAGAGTGCTTTAGTCCACTGCTGACATTTGGGGCAGGATGGTGGGATTTCCCCTGAAAATATGCTCAGAGAGGAAAAAAAATACAATTCTCGTGACTGCCCTTGTAGGTATTTTAAACTATCAGGAAGTCCTAATTTAACTTTTTTGTAGTGAAACTGCTTCAGATGAAAATGTTAATTTACAGAAAAAAGTAAAAATAAATACTGAATATCCCCAAAATACCAACACTGTGAAATGTCAAACACTGCACCTGGGGAGGAAGAACCCCAGGCACCATTATATGCTTGGGGAAAGCAGCTTTGCAGAGAAGGTCCTGGTGGACAACAAGCTGAACATGAGCCAGCAATGTGCCCTCGTGGCTAAGAAGGACAACAGCATCCTGGGCTGCATTTAGATAAAAGAAAGACTCTTGCTAGGAGGTCAAGGGAAGTGATCCTACTGCTCTGCTCAGTGCTTCTAAGTCCACATCTGGAGTGCTGGATCCAGCTCTGGGTTCCTCAGTACAAGAAAGATAGGAATGTTCTGGAGCAATTCTACTGATGAACCACAAATACGATTAGGGACTGCAACATCTGTCATACAAGGAAAGGCTGAGCAAGCCGGGGTTGCTTAGCCTGGAGTAGAGGCTCTTATCACTGTTCTTAAGTATCTGCTTGGATGAGTAAAGAAGATGGAGCAAGACTCTTCCAGTGGTCCTGAGCACCTGCTCTAGTTGACTCTGCATTGAACAAGTGGCTTGGACCAGGCACACTCCAACATGATCCATTCTGTCACTTGGTAACAATTCTTTCTTCTCTTATTCATTAATAAAGCATATAACTTTTATGACCCAGCTAACATCATACTAGGCACGTAAATAAACAAAGACATTGCACTCGCTACTTAAAGCATATATGAAGCAGCTTATGTGATAAGGTTATCAAAGATACAGTCTGACCTGACTTTATTCTGGCCAAAGAATATCACTCAACTAAACTTTATGTTAGGAGGAACAAGATGCGTGATTTATAGCCTAAAAGTACATAGAAAACAAACCTATAGCAACTGTCAGAATTCTCTCATTCTCATTTAGTTCAGCCACAACAGGGCATCATAAAGGCCACAACTAAAATACCCCTTAATAGCGTTAAGAAATTATTGAACAAATAAAAAGCAAAGCCAAAATGATCTTTCATTTTGCAAAAAAGCAAAGCCTGTCATCTTTCAACAGTTAAATGTTTTGATTCTATCATTCATGGACATGTATTGCAATCACAACTTCATTTCAGAAGAAAAGCCTACATGAGACTATGTAAGAGTACTTTAAATCATTTTAACAATCTTTTCTCTTTCCTTTTAATCTCACTAGTTACATCATAAAATCACTGAATAGGAGTCAGAATCATAGAATCATAGATCACCTAGTTCCAACCCCCCTGCCATGGCCAGGGATACTACACACTAAACCATGTCACCCAAGACTCCGTCCAGCCTGGCCCTGAACAGTGCCAGGGACGGAGTATTTATAATATCCTTGGTCAACCTGTTCCAGTGCAAAAGAGTAACACCAGAAGTTTGAGCAACCAAACCATTTTCTCCAGTTTATGATCTCCATTTACTTTTCCATTTTTTCTCTCTCCATCAAAGAGACAAAAAAGCACCAATCTAAAATTAGAAAACCAAGGCCTTCTTAAGCCTTTGGGTTTTGTGATCCATTCCCAGTCCTTTACATAGCATGGAGGAAAATAAACCAACTAAAGTAACCATTTGTACAAGGATATTTACTTTGAGATACAAGGATCTTGACTCCTCTTCTATTACTGTCTTCTATCAAATGGAAGGTGTCCAACTACTTCAAGAAGTCAATACGTAAATTGATTGCACTGTGTAAATTAATAGCACAGATTTTTTTTTTTTTTATATTCATCAGAGAGAAGCTTTTGTTTACAGACAGCCAACTATGCATTTTACTACAATGAAATTACAGATACCACATGTAGGTCCTCTCTCTGGTGCTTGCTACACAAAATCCTTACCTTGGAACACCAAGGTTAGTATTGATGATAAGCCTTCTTAAGACAAACTTCAATCACTGGCAGAAGAGTGGCTGTATAAACAGGTGACTCAAGGGAGCAGGAATAAGAGAGAGAGAGTAATGAGTGTCTGCGAACTGCTGTGAAATGGCCGAGTGTGAAAGTCAATGTCAAGATCTTCAGCATGAGATTGGACTTGCATCTAAATGCCTGTGCTTCTTTCTCTGGAAACTATCATAACACCTCTTGCTCAAATGAATTTATTTTTTAATTTATACAGTTGCCCTATTTTTATAACAAAGGCTACAATTCTAGTCTTGTAAAAAAATGATAGCTTTACTGCAACATGAGCTCAGAAAAATCCCCCAGGTTTAGTACCATATCTCTGGCAGCTGAACAGACAGAAAATGCAGTAATTTTTTTTTTGGCTAGTTTGTCAAGGTAAATGTTAGTGTTTAATATGCCTTTTTAAACTGTAAATAATTTGAAACAAACCTATTTAGCAGAGATAAAAAAATTCAGCTAGATGTGAATATAAACTGATGCCTACCAAGAGATATATGTAATAACGTCTATTTAACAAGATTCTTCTGATTTCAGAAGGGGGAAAAAAAGGGAAATAAATGAAACTCATTCTAGTCAGAGATCATCATTTACAACTAATATTGCATAAGAGTTCAGACTGTAATGATCAACGAGCAATGCTCTGTTATCATACACTTGAAGGACCAGGCATTCATTTTACACCTATTTCAGAAAGTAAGAAAAGTATTCTAGTTTCACATCTGAGCTTCTATTTCAACATGCGCTTACCAAGTAAATACTTAACATTATTCTTCCCACATAGGAATAATTCTTTTAATCAACAATGAAACTTAGCATTTGTCTACTCCATTATATTCTATGCCAGAACACGCTGACAAAACCAAGGATACACTTTTTAAAAAAATAAACTTTTAACTAGGGGTTCCTAGTATAACAAATGACAATTTTTGATATTTAGTTTCGAGATTCTTCAGATGGTGCACACATATCTTTTTCAAGATGGTTATCCTTTCTCAAGCCACCACTTCATTAAAGTACTATTGTTAGCCCTCAGATGACAGAATGGAAGCACAAAACAGGAAGGGAAGCTCCTAGACTCCTGGGGCACGCTGTGAAATGGAGACTTTCAGCAATCTCAGCAAACAGCTTTCTATATTAAGACAGACTCTTCACTGAATGTTGTAGAAATCCAACTGTCAGCAAATGTTCCTATTACCTATCATTACACATATACATAGCAACACATACAGTATTTTAATTTTTCTGAAAAGCTACTTAATATTATATGAACTTTTTAAAGTGACAAAATTTGGTCATCTTTTGCATTTCTCCAGAAAGATTTCAGCTGCAATGCTGATTATTACAAATCACTGTTATTTATATCCGCATTACTTGATCCTTCTAGGTACTGTAGTTTTGCCACTGACATTAGCATTTTGCCTTAGTTCCTTCGTCCCAGCACAGCAAAATGGAATAAAGCTAAAGCTCATCTTGTTAAACAAAGTATTGATCTGTGTATTTGAAATGTGTATTTTATTTGGTGCTGAGATCTCCATCAGCGGAGAGAACCGGTAACTTTGAAAGTCATGTTTAACAAGAATGCTGATGATAGCTCTCCTAACAATCATCACTGATACATAGTATCATAGAATCACAGAATGGTTGGGGTTGGAAAGGACCTTAAGATCATCTAGTTCAAACCCCCCTGCCATGAG